TCCATGCTCTGGAAATTCTAGGACAGGAGAGCCAATCAGGCACTGTTCAGTGCAAGCGAAGAGCACTCACTTGCTAATTATACCCTCTCCCTGCTGTCCCCTGTGCCCCTTAGCTGGCCAGGGACCTTACCAACAGAGCTGGACAGCACCCCCTTCCTCTCCCAGCTCCCCTTATCAATCAAAACTTACCCTGTGTCTCATTTTTTTAATGAAATAACCTTGGGCTATAATGGGTTAATTAGTTAATCAAATCTATTCTAATTCACTAATTGGCTCATATGTCATCTATTTGAGAAAATCGTATAAATAGCCACTTCTTGGCTGTTTGCAACTGCTGAGTCATTTAGTATCTCAGGACCTCCATTTTCTTACTTTAAAATAACGGTGGGGGGGAATTAATGTCTAAGAAAGGGGTGATATTTGAGTTGAGTCTTGGCGTAAAATGGAATGGAAGGGCTGCAGCGTGCTATTTTTAAGATAAGGCAAAAGAGGAGAGAGCGTGTTCAAAGGAAATGAATGTAGCAGCAAAATCGCCTGATAGACTTCTAGCTGAGCATAATTATTGCTGCATCCTCAAGGGATAAAAACGAGCCATGCAAAATGTCCCAGAGGGGCTTGGACTTCCTATTTTGTTTATTAATCATCTTGATGAAAATGGAAAGTCTACATTGATTAAATTCACTAATGATCCTAAACTGAGTGAGGAGTAAATTCCAGAAAGGATGGATTTATAAGATGAGTAGTAATATTAATCAGCTCATCTTCATGAAAAGGGTGGCAGTAAATGAAATGGGATTTGCTATAGATGATGGCAACGAGGTACACCTGGGGGGAAACGATAATGAGTCCAGATTCAAACTAGGAAGGTATTATTTAGGAAATAATAATGGTGAGAGAGCTCTAAAGTGGAGAGTGAATAATAAATTAAAAACAAGCTTAAAATAAGCACTCATTATGGATCACAATTTCACTCTCAGCACTTTTGCAGTGGGGTGGTACAGAGAAGGTGAACGTGAATGGCAGAGATGGAAGCAGGTTTGTAGTGCAGCACTTATATTTTACTGGTGAGGACGCTGAGGCCCAGAGAGGTTAGGTATAGACCGACTAGGTCAGGGTGGAAAAACCCTCTCACGCTGGTCACCACTCTGTCCCCTGTGGTGGTGGCAGGAGATCACGATTCCTTCTGACAATCTAAATTTAGCCTCAGAATCCTCAATGCTGCACTCTAAGCAGTCTCTCATTACTTTGCTCACAAAATATTATCTCGTGTCATCTCTAGCTTACATCATAGAGCTAGATGTTGGCAGAGCCGTGGCTAAAAACCTAGATGTCCCGAATGTCTAGTGCTTCTATTTCACCCTGTACGTTCTAAATTCTCAGCAGGCAACATTGACTATAACTTCAAAAGTCAAAGACTCAGAAAGCATAACTCACTTCTTATCCAGGGTTCTGACCTTGGTGCCCATCATCTTAGTTTAAGTTTCCTTAGACAGCATTTAAAAATCTCCCAAATTGAATATAGAGAGAGAGAGGTGTTGGGAAGACACTTAGAAATAGCAATAGTTTTGAGCCAGTGAGTTTTGTGCCCCTGGGGAGTCACAGAAAGCATTTTTAAAAAGAAGTCTATTGAATTCAAGTAACAAAAATTAAACTTCCACCTTAGGCATTTGACAAAATTAATGACCTTGTTAAAAATTCCCTGAGACTGATGAATGCTTCTCATATTTGTTTCCCTCCTGGGGAACAGAGTGAATTTTCCCTGTGCAAATGGAGCCATGTTGAGGAAAGTCCTGTGTGTGCTGGTTAGTTAGGTGAGGGTGTCAACCTAGGGAGGAGGGGAGGGAGGGGAAGATTGGTCTCAACAGAATTGTGAAGCAGGTGAGTTTGGCCCATTCTCACTTCCTTTTAGTGTCCTTTCAGTTCCCTCTCCCCAGGAAGGCTCATGATGCTCCTGTAAGTCTCGCTGATTGATGCGACAGCTACTCCTCTAAGGCTGAGCTGGTTGTGTGTTGCACAACTTTAGGGGACGCTATTCTCCTTTGGGAACTCGCTAACTTAGCATGACCAGCCCCCTGGCAGATTCAGAACAGTTCTCCATTTATTAGGCCTTTCCTTATGTTTCCCAGTCTTCAATGGAAACCTATCTTCTATGTGTCAGATCAGAGTCATTTCCACATGGGCTAATGGGTCACTGCCCAAGACTTTCCTGAAGACCCACCCCATAGCTTAAGCAAATGAATTAAATAGTAGAACATTTTGGCATGTGCCTGAACGAAATCTCTCCCATGTATACTCTTCCAATGGTTAATGAATACCTCATAGGATTCATGAGAGAGAGCATCCACACGCTTGATCACCCGTAATCACAAAGGTTGGCTACCAAGATCTTTTTCTCTTTTGTTTTGTTTTGTTTTGTTTTGTTTGAGATGGAGAGTCTTGCTCTGTTGCCCAGGCTGGAGTGCAGTGGCGTGATCTTGGCTCACTGCAGCCTCCACCTCCTGGGTTCAAGTGATTCTCCTGCCTCCCGAGTAGCTGGGATTACAGGTGCGCACCACCACGCCCAGCTAATTTTTTGTATTTTTAGTAGAGACAGGGTTTCACCATGTTAGCCAGGATGGTGTCGATCTCCTGACCTCATGATCCGCCCTTCTCGGCCTCCCAAAGTGCTGGGATTACAGGCGTGAGACACCACACCCATCCCCTAGATCTCTTAAATAAGACTTTAATCTACCCAGCACTTTAAAGCTTGCAGAATCCTGTCCCACCATGCCAGAGTGTCCAGAGATCAAGTGAGATCAAGTCAGTTAATCTGGGGTCAGAGTCCCATCCCTGCCACTTGTTGGCCATGCAGAACAGAGTTAAGCCAATTATCTAAACTTTCCAAACAAGTTTTTTGATAGGACTAAGATAATGTATTTACCATAGTGCTTGGCAATAAATAAATAAATAAATAAATAAATAAATAAATAAATAAATATAAAAAAACACATGTAATCTGCTATCCCTGCAGTTGTTTTTATTTCAGATACCCTGTGGGGCAGGAAAGCTGGATGTTATCTCCTTTATCTTGAGAACCCTAGCAAACAGAAATGATTTGTCTGGCGATACACAATCAATCCTTGTCAAGGCTGAATGTTAAACCTGGGCTTTCTATGTAAGGCTCCAGTCTTCTTCCCATCATCTCATGCTCTTATAGACCTAGTGCAACAGTTGACGACATGTGTGTGCCTCCCCAGGCTGCATGGTTTATCATGCACATGAGACACACTGGTTGCTTTTTAACTGTTTCCTTCTCTCATACAATGCCTATGCTGACTTGCCGGAAACACCCGGGTAATAGCCAGGGTATGAATTTTCTTTTCTTTTCTTTTCTTTTCTTTTTTTTTTTGAGACGGAGTCTCGCTCCGTCGCCCAGGCTGGAGTGCAGTGGCATGATGGGCTCACTGCAAGCTCCGCCCCCTGGGTTCACACCATTCTCCTGCTTCAGCCTCCTGAATTTCTGGGACTACAGGTGCCCGCCACCGCGCCCACCACCACGGCCGGCTAATTTTTTTTTTTAGTAGAGACGGGGTGTCACAGTATTACTGAGGATGGTCTCAATCTTCTGACCTCGTGATCTGCCCACCTCGGCCTCCCAAAGTGCTGGGATTACAGGCGTGAGCCATCGCACCCGGCTAACACAGGGTATGAATTTTCTGTCTTCAAGGTGCAAGTCCACATGTCCTGGGTGTGGAATTGACATCTGTGTCAGGGTAAGACTGGAAATGTGCCCCTTCATCCATAGCTGCCATTGGGTATATTATCCTTCACGGATCTCACTGACAGAGAAAGTGCCCATCTTACTAGCCAAGCAAACTAGTCCATTTGGTCCTAACATAAACAGTTGCAGAGCTAACACAGGAGCCCGGTGATGCATGGACCTTTTGATACTCTATATCTGTTAGGCTGAAGGCTCAGGGACAGATCCAGATTTTGTGGGCCCCTGTAGATTATTCAATTTTGGAATCTTCTTTTTTTAAAAAAAGTATAAAGTCAAAATTAGATACGGGAAAATTACAGAGATGGAGAACAGACTAGTCGTTGCCAGGGTTCAGGGATAGAAGAGAGGAGAGAGAGATGGGTGTGTTTATAAAAGGGTAACAGGTGATGATGAAACTGCTCTGTATTTGACTGTGGTGATGGGTACATGAATTTAAACATGTGCTAAAATTGCATAGAACCAAACACACACATACAAATGAGGACGTACAGCTGGGCACAGTGGCTCATGCCTGTAATCCCAGCACTTTGGGAGGCTGAGGCCACTGGATCACCTGAAGTCAGGAGTTCAAGACCAGCCTGACCAATGTGGTGAAACCCTGTGTCTACTAAAAATACGAAAATTAGCCAGGTGTGATGGCATGTGCCTGTAGTGCCAGCTACACGGGAGGCTGAGACAGGAGAATCGCTTGAACCCAGGAGGCAGAGGTAGCAGTGAGCTGAGATTGCGCCACTGCACTCCCACCTGGGTGACAGAGCAAGACTCTGTCCAAAAAGAAACAAACAAATGAGGACATATAAAATTGATGAAATCAGTAAGATCTGGATTACCAACACCAATATTCTATTCCACTATTGTACTATGGTTCTATAAGATGTTACCCTTGAGGAAAACTGGATGAAAGAGACACAGGATCTCTATTATGTCTTCCCACAGCATGTGAGTCTAAGTATTTCAAAATAAAAAGTTTAATTTAAAACATGGATAAAACTGGAAACAAGATTTGGGGAAAAAAAAAAAGGTACCGGGTCTAGGAGGGTTGGTGCTAATGACAAGGTTGGACACTTAAACTTCACTTGGCTTCATTTCCTGATTGGAAAGGCAGTAGACCGATAGAAAATGAGTCACAATGGAGATATGAAACCATTTTAAGACCCACAAATGAAAGTGTACACTTCTGGGATTACCTTCTTTGATCACAAGGAAGGCTGCCAATGTAAAATAAACATAAGCTACTTACCCACATAAATAGGTTGGCTCCACTCACTCCAGAGCCCTGCCTCTCTGCACATGGAGCTCACTGCTGCTCTCACTTGAACATCATACTTAGAAAGATCATCAATTATTGAGATGAATGCATTGGTCATCATTTTTTCTATCTAAGTGGGGAAAAATAGCATTAGAAGAATCTCTAAACACCTAATTTAGTTCTGCCAATTATCAGAATGGGAGGTCCTATATAGGTCATGTGACTCACTGTTCAGCAAGCCATTTAAAATCAACAGGGCACATATCAATTCATTTATACTAGGTGCTTCAGTGTTGCTGTGTTGGCAGTCACCCTTCGGGAAAACGCTATATTGTAACCCAAATATATGAAATGGTCAACAGTCAAGATCCAGGTGATCCTATCCAGGCCCAGCAGACGTTTCCAGACTGAAAGACTGGAGTGGCCTCTGCCAGGATGCATTATTCCCTCACCTTGTCCCTCCATAATCTATGGTCACATTACTAAATAATATCACACGAACACTAGATTGTCTCGTGTTGAAGCAGTTTTCTCATGAATGAGCCCTTCTTTTTCTTTCTGCTGATCACGGTCGCCACCATCCAGCTAGATGGTGTGCCAGAGATGTGTTCCTGACACCTGTATCTTGAATACCCCCTGGAGGTGTTTCTCCCTTTTTTACTCCAGCCCTGTGTCCATTGCCTATTTTAGCTCTTATTATCTTTTGCTTGGACAGTTGCAGTAGCCACTAACTGATATCCGTATGTCCATGTGGCCCCTCCCCACTCACATCCGGTTTTCACGCTGCTACCAAAATTCTTCTACTCTGCAAATGTGGACATATTTCTCTCTTGTGTGAAATTCTTCAGTGGCATCCATTGCCCGCAGTCATGGTTTTTAACACAGAAGCCATTTCTTTATTTAAAAAAAAAATCTTATAGAGCCACTCTGGGAGAAGTCACAGTGTCAGATACAGAGTCGTGAGTTCAGTGTTGGTCTTATATCCAGGCATCCAGGCAGACTGAATTACTTGCCACTTGACTGAAAGAACCATACTCTCCCAAGCATAAAGTTACTCCTTTTCCTAGGCTGGTGCAGGTCAGGAACTATTTATTACTGGCCTGTGATAGGCTAAATACAGATAAAATTATGACTACAATTTGGAAGTTTTGGTAGCAATTTGACATCGCCATGACATCCAAACACATGATCAGTGAACTGATACTTTACATGTCTTTGGCTATATTTAATTTTTGCTAGCAAATCATTTTTATGTATTTGACAAAAGCACCAATCGATGGTAGATTAGATATTATAAAAACACACGCACTCACAGCCCTTCAGTGTAAGTATTTTGGGAAGCTCTGGCTAAGAAAGTCCTTCTCATGTTTTCTCACCAGACCAGTTTCTCTTCATCCTTGCAGATTCCGTTCAATTCCTCTCTGCATAGCAGACTCTGTGCCCACACCCCCATCTCTAGCTGCACTGGCTTTTCCTGTGGGAGAGCAACCCCAAGGCTGAGCAAATATGTCACAAGATTGGGTCACTTCATGGCAGAAACAGTCTTATTTCTCACAAAGAAGCCAATTTGTAAATATTTGTTGAATCTAATGGAATTGGCTTTGTCTACTCTCTATAAGACATGAGTTGGAATCCTGTTTTTTTTTCCTAGCTTTGTGACTGTGGGAGAGTTACTTCATCTCTTTTGCCTCACTTTCCTATAAAATGGGAATGATAATTACATCATAGAATTATTGTGAGGGTGGAATATACACATAATAAAGTTTGACACATAGTTGATGCTCAAGAAATGTTGATTGACTTTCTTCTCAGTTCCTTTCCCTTTGAAATTTTTGTCTATTAGTACTAATGAGTTTCTTAAAATTGTGGTAAAATACATATAATGAAATTTACCATCTTAATCCCTTTTAAGTGTACAGCTTTGCGATATTAAATACTTTCATATTGTCGTGTCACCAATGTTCAACAGTCTTTTAATCTTGCAAAAGTGAAACTCTGTACCCATTAAACAATAGCTCTCCATCCGCCCTCCAACCAATTCCTGGTAACCACCATCCTACTCTGTTTCTAAGAATTTTACTATTTAACCTCCGAAAGTAGAATCAGACAGTATTTGTCCTTTTGTGACTGACTTATTTTGCTTAGCATAATGTCCTCAAGGCTCCTCCGTGATGCAGCATGTGTCAGAATTTCCTTTCTTTTAATGCTGGATAATATCCTATTGTGTGTATATGCTGCATTTTGCTCATCCATTCATTTAATGGGCACATGGGTTGCTTCCAGCTTTTGGCTGTTGTGAATAATGCTGCTATGGACATGGGTGTACAAACATCTCTTTGAATCCTTGTTTTCAATTCTTTTGTATATATAACCAGAAATGGAATTGTTGGATCATATGGGAATTCTATTTCTAATTGTTTGAGAATTCATCATACCGTTTTTATAGTAGCTGCATCACTTTAGATTTTTTTTTTTTTTTTGAGATGAAGTATCGCTCTGTCCCCCAGGTTGGAGTACAGTGGCACAATCTCGGCTTACTGTAACCTCCGCCTCCCTGGTTGAAGCGATTCTCCTGCCTCAGCCCCCACCCCCAAGTAGCTGGGATTATAGGCATGCGCCATCATGTTGGCTAATTTTTGTGGGGTTTTTTTGTTTGTTTGTTTTGTTTTGTTTTGTTTTTTGAGACGGAGTCTCGCTCTGTCGCCCAGGCTGGAGTGCAGTGGCCAGATCTCAGCTCACTGCAAGCTCCACCTCCCAGGTTTACGCCATTCTCCTGCCTCAGCCTCCCGAGTAGCTGGGACTACAGGCACCCGCCACCTCGCCCGGCTAGTTTTTTTTGTATTTTTTAGTAGAGATGGGGTTTCACCATGTTGGTCAGGCTGGTCTTGAACTCCTCATCTCAGGTGATCCACCCACAGTGGCCTCCCAAAGTGCTAGGATTACAGGCATGAGTCACTGCACCCATCTATCATTTTAGATTTTAACCAACACTAGTACCAATGAGTCTGTTTCTAATCCTTTGTATTAGTTTCAACCAAAAGTGTGTTATTTCAAAACAAAAGGCCAGTAAGATTTGGTTTATACCTATAATACCTGGGTAGATGTAAGTTAACTTTGACCTTGTTAGTACCAAGCTGTAACTTGGTTGCAGTCACTGAAGATAATTTTTTAAATGTTTCTAAAATAAATGTCTGTCATCAAATATTGGAATGATCTGAGTAATTACCTGCAAATATCCGTTCCTTGCATTGTGTATTTTTACTTCATAATCAAAGCAATGGATTGGAAAGGCAGACACTGGTTTCTCCCATTGGATAGAGAGACGAGTTCCTTCAATCTCTGCTGTGACATTCAGTGGTGGATTTATTTGATCTAAGGGAATGAAAGATCAGTGATTTTTTTTTTTTAGAATCAGTGATCAGAGCTGATAACTCCAATCCACCCACACTTCTCAAGGCATTTCTAAGATATGCTTTTTTCAAATATTTACCATCAGGTCTTAATCAACTGATCTCCAAGCCACAGGAAGCCAGTGGCCTCCCGTAATACTCTTGTCTAATAGTGCTGAAGAAGAAGAGACCCTTTCTGGAAACTACAAGGATTACTACTCCAAATGGAGTCAAATGCTTGAATCTCTTCCCCACTCAGCTCATTGCAAGACTCACCCACCATCTCCCTTTACTACTCAAGTTGTACCAGGCCCAGAATAAACCTGACCACTGAGAGAACTTTTCCCTGGACCTTCCACCAAGCCTTGCCTCTTCCCAGTAGGTATGTGGCCCTGAGCAAATCACTTCCCCTTTCTGAGATTCAGTTTTCAATTTTAATTTCATTTTGTTTACTGCATCTTTTGTTTTTTGTTTGTTTGGGGGATGGAGCAGGAAGCTTCAGTTGTCTTTTGCATCAAAAAAGAATGGATTAGGGCCGGGCTTGGTGTCTCACACCTGTAATCCCAGCACTTTGGGAGGCTGAGGCAGGCGGATTACGAGGTCGGGAGATCGAAACCATCCTGGCTAACACGGTGAAACCCCGACTCTACTAAAAATACAAAAAACTAGCTGGGCGTGGTGGCAGGCACCTACAGTCCCAGCTAGTCGGGAGGCTGAGGCAGGAAAATGGCGTGAGTCCGGGAGGCGGAGATTGCAGTGAGCCGATATCATGCCACTGCACTCCAGCCTGGGGGACAGAGTGAGACTCTGTCTCCAAAAAAAAAAAAGAAGAATGGATTGGTCTTCACTTAGGACTCTAATGTCCTTTCCCCTGAGATCTCACTTGATTGTCTTATGGTCCAGTGAGGTGAGGGGAAAATTAATTCTTAATGAGTGTCCTTGTCTTAGGTAATGTGACTTAGATCTCACAATTAATAGGGACAAGCTAAGAGTGGGGTCGACTGGCTTCAGAGCCTCCTGTTCCCTAAGGAGAAAATTCTTAACCAAGAAAGTACTTATTTATTTTAGTAATCCTAGGAATTAGCCTCAATAAAATGAAAATCATAAAAGAAAATGAATTCCTGTGGTCTGTACTAGATTATATCCATTTTCATATTAATATCATTGTTTCTAGGTCTTCCTCAGCATCTTTTATTGCCTATTTTCATGAAAGTGACATTTTTAGTTCACCTAAGAAATATACTACTGAGAGAATTGCATAACCTCTTTAGTAAGGGCTATGATTCTTGACACAAAGTTATATTCCATTGGAAAATAGATATGTCACAGCCAAATCATACTCTCTAAATAATATTGTAGTGTATTTATTAAACCTTTATGCCAGGCACTGTTCTAAGCACTTTATCATTAGTAACACAATTCTCACGAAAACCGCACAGGAAGTATTGATTCCTCTCCATTGTTTCAGATAAGAAGATTAGGCACAAAGGAATGATCAGCTTGTCCAAGGTCACTCAGTCAGCGGTGGAGCCAGGATCCAAATCCAGGCAGTCTGGCCCCACAGCCCATAATAACCACCCACCATTGAAATCTGGAATCTCCGTAACTCAGTATGCCATGTGAGAGCGCCTGGTGAGTTTCACGAATAGAACTATCTGGGATGAGGGAGAGTGTCTTCTCTATTGAGAACTGAGCAGATGAAACCATGAATATAATTTTTAGAGCTGAGAATTGCACACTGAGAGATATTCGAGCTGCAAAACATCTAGGAGATGGGCCAGAACAGTGAGAAATGCAGAGAGAGAGATATTAGCCTGGAGAAGAAGGGTTTCTGGATGGGAAACCTGTTGCCTGTGAACAGCTAAGAGAGGCCATTTGTTAGGGAAAGGACTCAAACCAGCTGGGGTGGCACTAGTCCATCTCAGGACCTGGGGCAGAAATTTCACAAAACCTGTCAGAACTCATGAAAGATTAAATGGTTTCTTTTAAGCAGCTAGTTCACTTTTCCTGGTGCAGTGATTCTCAACTGGGGGAAATTTTACCCCCTGAGGGGCATCTGGCAAAGTCTGAGACTTCTTAAAAAATCACAGCTCAGGGGCAGAGGGGCATACTGCTGGCATCTAGTGTGTAGAGGCCCCTCTGCTGCTCAATATCCTACAATGCCCAGGACAGCCCTCTATAACACAGCTATCCAGCAAAAATCATTGGCGGCGTTGGGCTGGAGAACCCTGCCCCAGTGGTTTTCAAACGTGGGCCTGATGCTTACTTAGCATCAGAAAAGTAGTAGAACTAGGTGATCTTCTCCAGTGCTGAGATTCTGAGATTCAGTTATTTCAGCTTTGGGTTAAGTCGATCTTACCAATGGCATGAAGGGTAAACAGCTGATCAAAGGGCTTGATGGCAGAGTGCTTGCTGGAGCCGTTAACAAGCACCGCAAGCCAGTCACGCCCTCTGCTGTGGATAAAAGTCCTGGGAAACCAGCATGCGATATTTCTCCCCATTGAGTCTTTGCTGTATTCTTGGCATTCTTCAGTCCAAGAGCCATACCTAAATTGGAACACTCATGAGTTTTATGAGGTTGCAGGAAACAACCATTTGCCTAAGTAAAAATAGGTACAGTACTAACCTATAGTAGAGAAAATACTGCGTGTCCTCAGGGGCATCTGTGCCAACAAGCCAGGTGCAGTGAAGGGAAACTTGGTATGGCCTTAAATGTGAATAATTATCTGCTGTAGTGTTTGTGGTGCAAGTTAAATTCACAACTGAGGTTCCGGGAGACCCTAGGTAGTCAAAAATAAAAAGAACAAAACATTGCCATGGCAAACTCTGAATTTCATGCTTCTTTTGGAACTATAATGATGTAAACATCTTATTCACCACCAAAAAATAATCATCTTCACATTTTTTTCCCCTTGAGACAGAGCCTCACTCTGTCACCCAGGCTGCAGTGCAGTGGTGCGATCTTGGCTCACTGCAACCTCTGCCTCCTGGGTTGGAGCGATTCTGATGCCTCAGCCTCCCAAGTAGCTGGAATGACAGGTGTGCACCATCACACTTGGCTAATTTTTGTATTTTTGGTACAGATGGGGTTTCACCATGTTGGCCAGGCTGGTCTTGAACTCCTGACCTCAAGTGATCTACCCACCTCAGCCTCCTAAAATGCTGAAATTACAGGCATGAGCCACCATGCCCAGCCATCATCACATATTTCTAGAAACCTACTAACTACAAAAGGCCAACTTACTGGAGATATGGAATTAGAATTATAAAATCCCCATTTCTGATATTAAACAGCTTCCCAGCTATTTTGTTTGGGGCTTGGGGGTGATGTTTGTGCAATAAATGTGACAAAGTTCAAGAGAAGTACAATATATTGTCGTTTAGAGGTTGATGTCCAGCAACTTTGGTGCTCTAATGCCACATTTGTTAATAACTAGCTGTGAGACATTGACCCCCACTTTTCTGGGCTCTGTATTTTCAACTGTAAAGGAGAGGGTTGGTATAGGAAGGTCTTGAGTATCTCTTTCCATTCTAGAATTGTGTGATTCATTAGGTTGTATCCAAATGCTTCATGAATTACATAGGTTGCTGCTCAGAAGAAATGAGTTTTGACAACACTGCAAGATAATACCACTACTTTGCAGACTTGATGCACATTAGCATGTTAAAGTCCTCTTTAATATACTAGGACTTTAAGAAAACCTTGAATTGGCCAGGCACGGTGCTCATGCCTGTAATCCTAGCACTCTGGGAAGCCAAGGCTGGTGGATGTCTCTTGAGCCCAGGAGTTTGAGACCAGCCCAGGCAACATGGTGAAACCTCGTCTTTACAAAAAATATAAAAATTAGCCAGGCGTGGTGGCATGCACCTGTAGTCCCAGCACTTTGGGAGGCTGAGGCGGGCAGATTGCTTGAGCTCAGAAGTTTGAAACAAGCCTGGGTAACATGGCGAAACCCCAACTCTACAAAACATACAAAAATTAGCCAGGTGTGGTGGCATGTGCCTGTAGTTCCAGCTACTTGGGAGGTTGAGGTGGGAGGATCACTTGAGCTGGGGAGGTCGAGGCTGCAATGAACCAAGATCATGCCACTACACTCCAGCCTGGGCAACAGAGTGAGACCCTGTCTCAAAAAACCAAAAGAAAACCTTCAGATTTTTTTTTTTTTTTTCTGAGACGGAGTCTCGCTCTCTTGCCCGGGCTGGAGTGCAGTGGCCAGATCTCAGCTCACTCAGATTTTATTTTATTATTATTATTATTACCTGGAAACAGAGTCATTCTGTTGCCCAGGCTACAGTGCAGTGGCATGATCTCAGCTCACTGCAACCTCCCCCTCCCGGGTTCAAGTAGTTCTCCTGCCTCAGCCTCCCGAGTGCTTGGGATTACAGGCACGTGCCACCACACTCAGCTAATTTTTGTATTTTTAGTAGAGACTGGGTTTCACCACGTTGGCCAGGCTGGTCTCGATCTCTTGGCCTCAAGCCATCCACCTACCTCGGCCTCCCAAAGTGCTGGGATTACAAGTGTGAGCCACCGCACCCAGCCAAGATTTTAAATGCAAACTTATTTATGTTTGCTTCATTAAGTCTTTCTCAAATTATGTGACTAGAAAGGCTTGTTTTCATTTCAACCTCTCATTGCTGTATTAACTGTTGGTCTTTAAAATACACTGTGGGAAACACTGGTCTTGTTGGTGGTTGCTCAGAGAAGGAAACAAGCTCTTGCACCCAGGCCAGAAAGGACCGCATCCAAGTGGGAGCCTTGAGAGATAGAAGGGAGTCTTTTGGTCGTCGCTTAAGTCAGCTGTAGATCATTTTTATCACTGTCAGCCAGTGTCTTTCAAGAAGCAGAGGGAGAAGATGATGAGAGACAGCCTCTTATTACCTGCAGAGAAGTTAAAGATGGATTTCTTCTTTATATCTGTGCTTTTGCACAGATAGAAGATATATCTGTACTTTTGCTTTTGCACAGATAAAAAGAAGAAATATCTCGAAGCAAATTGACTTATTCAGTTCATGTATATATTCATATATTAGGTTGATGCAAAAGTAATTGTGATTTTGGTCATTACTTTTGCACCAACCTAATATATATTTGTCCATGCACCAAATGACCAGAAAGTCCATGCCCAAGTACAGTTTAGAGATCTATAGAGACTCTTTGTCTTATAGTTCTCATCCAAGGCATCATGTTATGTGAATTCTACTTGGTTCAAAACAGAAATAATTTTTATTAGTGTCATCCTATATGAGAGTGCTCAGAGGATAATTAGAATTGTAGAAATGTAAGCTGCAAAGTGCCTTATAGGTAAAATCCAGTTATTCATTATAGAAAGGGGAAATAGTGGTTTGATGTCAGCCACCTACAATAACCCATCTCTGTGATCCTGTATCTGCCTTGGATTAGTCTCTGTACTTGGGATCAAGCCCACGCAAATTGGCTGGTATGTGGTCTAGACAAGTTATAACAAGTAAATGGGGCTGGACATGGCAGCTCATGTCTGTAATCCCAGCACTTTGGGAGGCTGAGGCAGGTGGATGGCTTGAGGCCAGAAGATCGAGACCAGCCTGGTCAACATGGTAAAACCCCATCTCAATAATAATAATAATAGTACAAAAATTAGTCCAGCATGGAGGCGCACGCCTATAATCCCAGCTACTCGGAAGGCAGTGACATGAGAACAGCTTGAACCCAGGAGGCAGAGGTTGCAGTGAGTCGAGAATACACTGCTGCACTTCAGCCTGGGCAACAGAGGGAGACTCTATCTAAAAAAAAAAAAAAGTAAATGAGAAGATCTTTATGATTCTGTTTTAAGTTACCAACACAATTCAGAAGGCATGGGCTTTCCAGCTGGCCATATGACAGGATAATTGTTCAAAAATTACCCGTGAGCTCAACTGACCAAGGCAATTGTTATTGGGTGCACCCATATGCCCCAGGACTTGGTAGCCTGCTTCTCCTCTTTTCTCTCCCCTATTGTGTGTGTGCACTTAAGTGTGTGATCAGAAGTATTACTGATTCTAAGTATCAGAAACACCAACTTTCCACTGGAGGTCAATTCACAGACGGTGGATATTTCTGCAAGAATGTGCCAGATGGAATTCAGTTGGTTATGATAAGAAGTGGCAGCAGCCTTAGTTAGGATGTTGTTGATATGGGAGAGTACTTGACAAGAACAGGTGACTGACTAAAGGAAAGTGAGTTAGTGTTAATTTTTCTGCTTTTCCATATTTGCAAAGTCCAAAACATACAAACTGGACTTTTGGAGGCCTGCTTTACCTGATGGGGCATGAAGTTCAGCAGAAGCCCAGCTGCTGGCCAGGAGTGAGTGGTCGTTCTGCAGGATGGTCCGCACACTTGCTGAAAATCCTTTGTGGAGGATGGTTACGCATTTGCTTTCAGTGATTCTGGTTTCATACTAAAAATAAAACCCACAAGTCTTGATGCATAAAAGAGAACTAGCCTTAAGAGAGCTATTTTAATCAAATATGCATTTTCTTCTACTTTTTAAATGATGAGTAAGATGCAATGAAATAGTTTTGCTAGGAAAAAAGTCAAAACAAAACTATTGTAATAACAACATAGTAACTTCTCAATGACACATGAACACATTATTCTTGTAAAAACAAACTAAATATTACAGTTAAACTGAAGTTCCCTTTGACCACCATCTCCCCAGAGGTCAATGTTTGACAGAAAATTCTCTAGAATTCCATATTGACTGAAAAATGGTTAATATGAATCACTTCTCCCTTTGTTTGACTTTATTACACACCTAATATGTAGCAGATGCCTGAATGTAGCCCTGAGGTAAAATTGAGGCTCTGAGAAGCTAAATGACTTGTCCCAGGTTGCAAAGGTAGGAAGTGGATGAACTGGGATTCGAACTTGGTTTCCCTGACTCTCCATTCTGTCTGCTGTCTTCTTGTTTTGCTAGGCTACTGTCTCCTGTTCTGTTGGGTTGGTGATTTTAGGGGAAACAGAAAACCAGTATCCAATCCATTGTGCCTAAAAAGTTACTAAACATTCTTCGTTAAGGGAAAGAATCATCCGAAAGTTAAAATATTCTGCGATGCTGTTTAACGCTGAACAATACACCTAGCACTAGCTCACAGGCATTCTTAGAGAGACACTAGTCTACTGGTAACATAACAAAGAGCCTGTCAGTACTTTTGTTTTTTAATATAAAATTTCATTTGATAAAGAAAACGCAGTCAAAACGCATATTTATTCTCAATAAGGATATCCATTAGAATAAACACTTACATCATCTTCTTTTGGAGCGTTTATTTTCACTTGATATTCTAGATTAACATTCCTTTGCTCTTGATCAGGATTTGGTTCCCAACGTAAAAGAACTTGAGCCAAACCAGTAACTTTAATGGTGAAATTGACAGGTGGGAGAAGTGAAACTGTTGATTCAAAGAATAAAGAAACAGCACAATGTTCAACTGGACATAGGCAGCACTTTTAAAATTTTTTGAATATTTGTTGCCCTGCAGATGCTGTCCTGGACCTGCGAGCACCACAGACACAGTTGCTCCTGCCATGCCTGTAGCACCGGGGCAAAGAGAAAGTGTCTTTTTCTACCTGAGTAGCTAGGACTACAGGCGCATGCCACCACGCTGGGCTAATGGGTTTTTTTTTTATCTTTTTATTTTTGGTATTTTTAATAGAGACAGGTTTTCACCATGTTGGCTAGGCTGGTCTCCAACTCCTAACTTCAAATGATCTGCCCGCCTCAGCCTTCCAAGATGCTAGCAGGCAGGAGCCACCACGCCCAGCCTAGAAAAGGTTTCTTTAAAACTGTTTTTAACATCTTTTTTTACATTGCCTACGTCCAGGTGTTTACCTATAATACCTATATTTTTATTGAAATATGAACATGTTACTATATCACTATTCACTATTCACTGTAACCATAATTTTCAAACTGAGAGTCATTATCCATTAGCAGTCAATGATAACAATGTATTGGTTTGTGACCATAATTTTTCTTTTAATGATGTAGAAGAAAAATAGAATAGAAAATATCAGTGTGCATCAAACATAATAAGAGTTGTTTCATGAATCTTGTTTCCACTACATAAGGGTAGTTATATATTTGTATGCGTGCTGGTACATAACGTAAAAATGTATTTACCTCTTATTATGAGTCACAGACAAAAATATTTGCAAGCAAACTTATTTAAATAGGGCTTTACAGAAAGAAAATGTTTCTTCCCCCTTCATGAGCCACTCTCTGACTTTGCTTTCAAAATAAAAGCTTTTGCTTAATTGCAAAATCAATATCTGTTTATTGAAGAAATTTTGGAAAACACAGATAAGCAAAAAGAAGAAGATAAATTTTTTAAAATAATTGTACCACTAAGAATGGCATTAACATATGATATATTCGTTATTTTTTTCTTGGGTGTATATTTATGCAATTTTTAATTTTTTTACTACATTTAGGGCAGTATTGTGCACACAATTACAAAACCTTCTTTTATTCATTTACTAAGTTATCAGGATTTATCCATGCATCTTAACAGACTTCCCACACCTCTACATCCATGTTTACCACATGAGGATTTTTAGAGCTCTGTCTGTATTGCACTGTCCATTATGGTAGCCATTGGCAACTTGTGGCTATTGAAATTTTTATTAATTAATTAATTAATTTTTGAGACAGAGTCTCACTCTGTTGCCCAGGCTGAAGGGCAGTGTTGTGCGATCTCAGCTTACTGCAACCTCTGCCTCTCAGTTCAAGCTATTCTCCTGCTTCAGCTTCCCAAGTAGCTGAGATTACAGGCATGTGCCACCACAGCTGGCTATTTTTGAATTTTTAGTAGAGTTGGGGTTTCACCATGTTAGCCAGGTGGGTCTCAAACTTCTGACTACAAGTGATCCACCTGCCCCTGCCTCACAAAGTGCTGGGATTACAGGTGTGAGCCACAACATACGGCCTAAATTAATTTAAATTCATTACCTTAGTTGCACTGTCCATATTTCAAGGGCTCAATAGTCACATATGGCTAGTGGCTACTGCGTTGGACATTACAGAGATAGAACATTGTCATTACCATAGATAGTTCTGTTGACAATGCTAGACTGGGACCATGTGATGATTTTCCTTAAACTCTGTCATCACACCAAGTATGTACATCAACAAATTTCAGGACAAAATGCAGTGGAAGTTTCTTACTGTTTGGTCATGGGGCCTTCTAACTACTCCCTTGTATGGGAAGACATTCCAAATGCGACCACTGGCGCCAGCTTTATTCCATGGTGCCTGGACACCCACACTTTGACTTTGATTTCCCACTGTAGCATAACATTTGCATTTCAGCCAGCATTGCTTTCTTAAAATATAGCATGTTTAAAGCATCTGTCTTGAGGATAAATATTATCTCATAAAAATCCATATATAATGTTCTAATTGACAGTTTAAGAGAAAATAATGTTATCCTTTTACTAACATACTTTTAAAAGTAAACATTATGGAATTGAATAGAAGGTCCTTACTCTTGTCATCAGGAAGTAAGTCAGCTTGCAGTATCTCAGTGGCCCCCAAAAGTATCAGTAATACAGGTGCCATGATGATCATATCCTACAGAAAACAAGGGAGATACCAAAATCATCTTGCTGCTATTTTTAAGAAAAACTGAAAGCTGCTTTCTAACATAAAATGTAGTTGTTTGGCCATTTGAGAAACATTTATGGCATATTCGTGATGTGCTAGAAATACAAACATGACTAAATCTTGGACTTTGCCCTTCTGATGTAGATTCATAGCTTGAAAGACAGAGTGAAACATAAATTGATAAATGTAGACCAGTTGTAAAACTGCCCCCAATCAAGGTGTGTGTGGAGTACAACAGGAGCAGAGACTTCGGATTTGCCGTCTAAAGGGTGAACTAGAGTCCTTGAAACACACAACAGGGAAAAGACATTCCTGGTGGAACCCAAGGTATGTGCAAAACTGGAAGAGAAGGAAACAAATAGGAGGGGATTGCTTTTCGGCAAGAGACCAGAGCAGACCTTTGAACAGTAGAAGTTGTAGCATAGTCAATAAAAGAAACAAACAACATTACCATTTTCATTATGAGGATTTAAAGATGAGCGAACATGACAGGAAACTTCAATCTAAAACAATTGGTAGCCTGAGAAAGAGAAACTTTGTCTCACCAATCCAGAATCAACTTATGGTACTTTAACTTTGAAGAGTTTTTCTTTTTTCTTTTTTTTTTTTTTTTTCCCAAAAGGGAGCAGGTTACAAAAGAATTGAAAAACGTAGTGATAGACCTGGGGAAAAGAAAGACAATATTTCTATCTCCTTGAAACAATTGGGCAATGAGAAAGAATCTAGAGCTGGAAATGTGATAACCCAGGGTGAACACACACAAAAGTCTCGGCATCCTGTTCTACATGTCAAAGAGGGGAGTCGGTGATCTCTTGCTGGGAATTGCAGATGAGAAGTCTTGAGTTTTTCTTCTGTACATTTTGAAAGGCATAGTTCATAAGAACTTAGCTTTAAAGGGCAGATAACACGCATGGCTTCCCCCTATGTTGCCCTCACTTTTACACAGCAGTTCTTCCTAGCCTCTTACCACGTGCTCCCCTCAGAGATTTGGTACCAGTCGCATGTGGCTGTTATACATGATGGAAATCCCTTCCACGGACATTGTTCCTACCCATGAAGGAAGGAGTCTGAAAGGTGAAATAATCTGCCAAAGATCAAACAGCTGTTAAGTAATGGAGCCTAGACCCCATCTCTGATCTTCCAACGAAGAAACCTATGCTCTGTCAACTTTATGGTACTAATTACAATGATTTATAATTTCAGCTAAAACATTTATTTAAGTGGCTTGGTATTTTCCAAATATAATTCTGGTAGAACCACAGGAGAGACCTGGGCTAAATGAATACCTCCAGGAAATAGCACAGAACACTCCTAACTTCATTATTACTTCTTAAATTATTACTTAGGTTGCTACTATTACTGCTGAACTTATTAATGAAATTGGTAAAATGCCACAACAGCAGGAAAGGATCGGCATATGAATCACTCAATTCCTTTTCCAATAAACTTAAGTATTGTTCATCAGAACTATGCCAGTTTTTATTTTAAAATCCCGTTTATTTTTCTCTGAGGATTTCACAGTATGTAGAAATAAAAAAAAAAAAAAAAGATGACCACGACAACAAAAGCAGGTACTCTATAATTTAAAAAAAAGTTTCAACAAGTGAGAATTTTAATGAATTAAGAGAAAACACTAGTAATCTACTAAGTCTGAGAAGCAAAGATAAAAATTCCTTGAGAACAGCAACAAAGATAGCTTCCTCTTTAAGTTATGAAGGTGATTTCTTAAAATGTCAGCATTTCCTGAAATAATATTAAATATGCTCTCATTTTGCACTAATTTTCAATAATAGGAATTCTAGGTCAGAAAAAACTGCACAATTAATTTTTTTTGTGACTTTCACTGACTGGCAAAGTAAAACTATGTTATAAGTGTACTTGTAAAAACAATAAACATCTATTTATCCTTTGCAATTAAATTGTTGAAGTAAATAATAAAACTGTTGAATATCTCAGTGGAGAGATAATTGAATATTTTATGTAAGCAGGCACTCTCCCCTAGAATTTGTCATGTATTATGATTTTATAGCTCCTAAAAATAGAATTGTTTTTCAAATTTGATCATTCAAAAAAATTTTGATTATTAGTTTTTGGCCATAAATAAGTAGATAACTTTTTCATGTCTCATCGTTGTATTTTATATTTAAAAAGAGATGCTTTTGAACAAAATCAGTTGTCCTATAGGCAGCACAAGGTACTCAATAGGGGTCTAAATATTACCAAGAATGACAGGTTTTTTTTGTGAGTCAGATAAATTGTACATAAGGTTGAATGTTACTAGAGCTTCAGGATTTGGTACCATGTTTTCTACAATTCTGCTCACTCTCTGTGGCCTCTTAGTACTTCTTGTCCCTGCTAAAAAATATAAAAAACAAATCTCTTCAAGCCATTTCTTTAATCCAAAGATACACTATTATATACACGTCAACTGGGTCATATTTCACTATAAAATAATAGAGCAACTTCATTAGCTTAAATAGATATATATCAACAATATGTTCAACTCATTCTTCTCATGGCTACCAATTAAAATCTAGCAGAAAACCATTAAATTGTTAAAATAAGATGCAAACTAAGCAGAATGAAGCAACTATAGGTTGTTTATCACCAGGAATACATGCTCAATCTCTAAGAAAAATCATGATCTACTTGCTCATATAACATTTCATCGAGTCAATCTAAAATTCCTTAAGTGCTCTCTAAAAATCTAGTTTCTGATAGGTGTAACATTTTTTGAAACTTTGGAGAAAACAACCACAACCTCCTTCTCTATAGGTGTTTCTAGAAATTTTGACAATTAGCAGTGGATTTCCCCAGTGTTCTTGAGAACTGATCAAATTCTACTGAAGTTCAGACTTACAAATATTTTCCCCTCTTCTTTTCCAAACTTATTTTTCTGTCTGGGACATTTGTTTCATAACCAAAGTTATACTGGCACCCCTGTTTTTAAAACCTTTTTGAGTCAACTGTGGTGACACCTAATTCCAGACTCAACCTTAGTGGCAGAAATTGTAAAGCAACTGAGAGGATTCATGCTCTGTTAGGCCTTTAAATATAAAGAGTTTACTTTCTCTTTAATCCTTTACAGTATAATCAGCAATAAAAGTTATCTCTTGGGGGATGAAGAATAAATAAACCAAGGTATAAACTGCAAAAGACATGTTTACCTAGGTATATTGCGTTACCCCCCAATGAAAAACTGCACATTCATGTCTAAATATATAAATGAATAATAAGGACCACTTATGCATGTAATTTTTTTTAACTACTACTGTACTTTTGATTAAATTTCTGAAATAGTCCTAAAATATAACTCATGAGTTCAGGTTGTGGCTATAATCATAAAACTCTCTGTCAGTCCATGTGGAAATGGTGTTGCCACCTTGAGTATTTGGAAAAATAGAAAAAGGAGTTTGCTACAAATATCCCAATGGTTAAATATTTCCTGCCAATTGCACACGGTGCAATTTGTCATCCCACATCCATGCTCCTGGGCATACCTGTCTACAGACGATCCTCTTGTTCCAGTCAGTACTCAACAGTAGATGGCGAGGACTGTGTCTGTCATGTCTATGCTCATGGCTGCAACCCCAGCATCTAGCACAGTGTCAGGCACAGGACCGATGCTCAGTGTGCCTGGCCCTGTGTGGAATAGAAGCAAATTAGTGCACAGCCCTAATGTGCAATGTGCGGTGAAACCTAACAGAGGAATGAGTTAGGTCAGGAGTGCAGCAGGCTGGGGAGTGTGTAACAAGTCTGGCTGACTTTTGATACCTTGCCTAAAAATTTCCCATGCAGTGTTTCAAGTAATATAAACAAATGAGGTGATTTAACTTCTAAAACTGTATTATGCTTTGAAATGCAAACTTTTAACAAATAGCTACATAAATCCCTTTTTCGATAACCATGAAAGAGGACATATTCACTTAAACTAGAAATCATACCAGCTAATAAAATGTTCAGTATGGTAATTCATTAAAGCAAGTACTAAGTATATTATTCACATGGCTATAAAAGCTCCATCACTTTTCATGTGTTTATTAATTTTAGGCTCATGGGTATTAAAAGATTCTAATTTTTCTTCTCTCTCTGTCTCTCTTTTTATCCTCTTTTTTTGGTTCCATTTCATCCTTTTTTTCTGTCTACATGGAAATATGCTTACCTTTCTTTAGGTAAATACATTAATGAACACAAAAGCAAGTGAAATATTTCAGCAAATTTGTGTACATTTTATATACAATGAAACAATCTTGGAAATCCAAGAACCCCTGCCAGAAAGAAAAAGCAGAATGCCTCCTTCAGTTAGATAAAGTGCCATTATCTACTTTTTATTGTTGTTTCTTTATTTGTAGATTTCTTGCTTAACTCTGAAACTTCCTAAGCTATTTTATTAAACCCTATACCATATTTTGAAAGCTCATTTATTTTCTAAGAAATCTTGACAGAATATATGTTCTCATTTTAATGGCATAATTATCTAGAGCAGTGGAAAAGAAATGTCTTATATTTATATAAGCATCAACAAAACCATAGGTGTTGTTTTAATATGACTCACCTTGCCACGGATTTGCACATCTCACTTACTGAGCCAAAACACAAGAATAGAACGGTATACCCAGAATCAACATGACCTGCCTAATAATGCAAGTTTAATAGGACCATTATTAGTTCTGTCCCTGCTAATAATACTAGAATTATAAAGAGTTTTGTTTCCCCTTTTTGTTGTTTACAAGTTTGTCATATATTTAGAAGTCATCGTTTATTGCTTTTCCTGACCCTCCTCCCCACCCTGGGTATAGTGAAATTATTAGGAGGTGGAGCACAGGGTATTGTTTAGCCCATGTCATAGAAAAAAGATATTTATTTGCTTACTCTGTGGTGAGTGAAGCATTTGATTCCCACTTACTGAGAAGTGCAGTGGCCATGCGATCAGAAGCAGCGGCAGGGCATTGAGAATGAACCTTATCTCTGGGTGCACTTTTTAACTTAGAGGCGGTTCTTCACTCTTTCATCATCACAGCTGTAATGGTTAAAAACTCTTGGGCAGCTTCCTTCATGATGGGATGGCAACACATTTTCTCTAAGCAAATACGGAGGAGGATTTGTACAGAGCAACTATGCAGAAGCCGAACTGGAACTCCCAACAACCAAACTGCTGTCAAATGAAAGAATCTCTTGTCCAGATAGCCATTATCTGATAACTGTCTCGTCTGCATTTTCACTCTCTTTCAGAGCTGGTTTGCTCTCTTCAGGAGTTGGAATTAGCTTTTACTCATGGTGACAAGGTAATCAAGTTTTCTGTGGGTACTCTAAGCCGTTGCATTTCTGTTCTGTTTATGTGCCTTGTTTGGCTAGAGTAGTTACTGTGTCTCTATCTCCTAGGCAACACTGACACATGATTTGATAGGAAATAGGGCCTGAGGAGTACCCTCTCCCTACTCACTAGGCAGTAGCAGCAATTCTCAGCCCTTAGAGAACAGCCTTAGCTCTTCTCTGCTTTGTGAGCGGGTCTGGTACCCTCAAGTAAATATGTGTGGGGGATGTGTTTCTGGGTGTGATGAATTGCTGCTGTCACCTGAGATCATCCTACACAAATTGTAACAATGGCAGTGTTGGTCTGTGCGTGCACCCAAGACCACCTTCCTCACATTACACCCATTGTAGCACCCAGCTGTCTTCAGAATGCTTCAATTTCAGCAAACCTCCTTGGCTTTTCCTGTCCTTTGTTCCATTTCTGTTTGATTCCTTCTGGGGAATTTCGAGGAGACTGACTAGCAAAGCTCACTTAAAAAAAAAATAGCTTAGCGTGTGAATAGATAAGAATAGTGCTTCTTGTATGACCCAAGGCAGAGAGTAGTAAGTAGTTGCCTTTGGAAGGAGACCTTCAGTCTAGCCTAAGGGATGAGTGATGCAGGATTCCCTGTCTCCATAGGAGCCGGTGAGAGTCTCAGACAGAGCAGATGCAGAAAGATGGTTGCCCAGGTTAGATCAGTGGTTCTGTTTGTGAGATGATAGACGGGCTTCCTGAAGGAAATTTCCGAAAGGCTCAGGGTAGGAGCTGTGCAAGTACAGTCAGTGTGTGTGCTTGGGGTTCCCAAGGTGACAATTTTAGCAGTTGCCAAAATGAACTGGAGCAATTGTTGTCAGGTTGAAAATTGTTGTCAGACCTGAAAAATGTGATTTTCCTTGGGGAAAAGAGAAGTAACACAAGGAACAGAGAGAGATCCATTTATTTGCTAAGAGGCACCCAGAAAAGTTTAGCTATAGTATCAACCATCTGGCCTACTCTTTTAAGTCCTGCACATCTGTTTATACCTGTAGCATATTTCTCACTAATGAAGCCTTAAAAATACTTATTAATCATTGTGAAGACAGTAATTTCTGGCTTAAAAGTCTGCTTTAATGGTCTCTCTCTCTCTATATATATATGTATATTTTTTGAGACAAAGTCTCCCTCTGTTGCCCAGGCTGGAGTGCAGTGGTGCAATCTCTGCTTGCTGCAACCTCCGCCTCCCAGGTTCAAGCGATTCTCCTGCCTCAGCTTCCCAAGTAGCTGGGATTACAGGCACCCGCCACCATGCCTGGCTAATTTTTTTGATTTTTGGTAGAGACGGGGTTTCACCATGTTGGCCAGGCTTGTCTCAAATTCCTGACCTGAAGTGATGCACTTGCCTTGGCCTCCCAAAGTGCTGGGATTATAGGCATGAGCCACCACACCCAGCCAATGGTCTCTATATTTCTTACATTCATTTACTCAAATACTCATTGAATGCACCTATGCATTATGCTAGGCACGGTGAAGGGTATAAAGAAAATTAGATCTGGCTACTCCTTCCATACCACCTTCCTGGATATATGATCTGTAATTAACTATGCCAATAAAGACAAGCAAACAAGCAAAACAAACACATGCTCACACAGAGACATTGTCTCTATGTTTCTGTATAAGCACAAAGGAAAAAACGAGAGGCAGGGACTTGTATTTTTTTTTGTGGGGGGAGGGTTGTTTGTTTGTTTGTTTTGGGATGGAGTTTCGCTCTTGTTGCCCAGGCTGGAGTGCAATGGCATGATCTCAGCTCACTGCAACTTCTGCCTCCTGGGTTCAAGCGATTCTCCTGCCTCAGCCTCCCGAGTAGCTGGGATTACAGGCCCCCACCACCACGCCCAGCTAATTTTTTGTATTTTTAGTAGAGATGGAGTTTCACCACGTTAGTCAGTCTGGTCTTGAACCCCTGACCTCAGGTGATCCACCCGCCTCCGCCTCCCAAAGTGCTGGGATACAGGCATGAGGCACCGAGTGAGGCCTGTTTGTTTTTTATGGCAATAATTTAATTCTTTATAATAAAATGTAAATGAAGACAGTATGACAGAACATGCTGGAAAAATTCACAAAAGTCTTTTTTTTTAAAGTGAAATTAAATATGTCTGCATCCCTTAAGCAAAACAATGTGAGTTTAACCAAATAGAAATATGAATAGTAATAAAATGAAAATCATGGTTCAGTGGCTCCACCATGAACTTTGGTTAAAGGAGCTTGTTAAAGGTATCAACTTCGAGAACTTGATTCCATGAAAATAATGAAAAATGTAGATCAAGATTTATACAAAAGAGAGAAAAATTCATTGTACCTTTACTTGGAATAGTAAAAGTAATATAGGAATGGTGAAGAGAAATAGGTAACTGCTCAAGGTTGAAATATGTGATGTGGATGTTAAAAGGAATGTTTATCAAGAACTTTTTTTTTTCTTTTGAGACAGGGTATTGCTCTGTCACCCAGGCTGGAGTGCAGTGGCAGGATCTCGGCTCACTGCAATCTCTGCCTCCTGGGTTCAAGCGATTCTTGTGCCTCAGTCTCTGAAGTAGCTGGGATTACAGGCATATGCCACCATGCCAGATAATTTTTATATTTTTAGTAGGGAGAGGGTTTCACCATTTTGGCCAGGGTGGTCTCAAACTCCTGGCCTCATGTGATCCTCCTGCTTTGGCCTCCCAAAGTGCTGGGATTACAGGCAAGAGCCAATCAAGAACTTTTAATAACATGGGATATTATGAAAAAATGTAAAGTAAAAACAACAGAAGGGTATACACACATACAATTTTTTTACAATCTTATTTTTGGTCAGAAGATCAGACTGATAGGAATAGTTATGTCTAAGTGGTAGGTGTATTAGTTGACTATTGCTACAGAATAAAAAACCACAGATCCCTCAGTGGTAAACTGTGATAGGCATGTATTTCTAACCCATGTGTCTGAGTTTTGACTGGGGTCTGCTTAATCTTGGGTTGGGCTCCAGATCACAGAGTGAGTTCAGATTTGTTCCAAGTATCTGCCATTCATTTGGAACCAGTGGCTACCCAGGACATAATCTTTTTATGGTGACAGCAAAAATGCAAGAGAGCAGGACCAACTGCACAAGCACAAACCAAGCATCTGCTCATGTCACATTCCCTGACATCTCAAGAGTCTGAGCAAATTACATGGCCAAGCCCAGAGTCAAATGGATGAAGCCCAAAGTACATTCCACCATGATAAGGGTGTGGACATGGACAACTCCTAGTGGGGAGTGAAGAAATGGGACCAATAGTTCATTCTACCACAGCAGGGTTAATGTTTCTTTTACTTTTTTTCTGTGTTTCTATATTTACAAATGTTTTATTCTGTACAAATGCAGGCAGAAAAAGTTATTTTAAAAAACATTAGAGACATACAGATCAATTTAATAGAATCGAGAGTCCAAAAATAAACTCTCGCATTTAGGGTCAATCGATTTTTGAAAAGAGTGTCAAGACAATTCAGTCTTTCAACAAGTGGTGCATATCCACACGCAAAAGAATGCCTCACAGCATAGACAAAAATGAATTCCAATAGGATCAAAGACCTAAAAGTAAGAGGCAAAACTATAAAATTCTTGGAAGAAAGAATAGGCATAAATCTTCATGACCTTGGATAAGGCAATGGTTTCTTTTATTTTCCTTTTTTTTTTTTTTTTTGAGACAGAATCCTACTCTGTCACCTAGGCTGGAGTGCAGTGCTGTGATCTCAGCTCACTGCAAACTCCCCTACCTCCAGGGTTCAAGTGATTCTCCTGCCTCAGCCTCCCGAGTAGTTGGGATTACAGGCGTGTGGCACCACACCTGGCTAAGTTTTGTATTTTTAGTAGAGATGGGGTTTTGCCATGTTGGCCAGGCTGGTCTCAAACTCCTGATCTCAGGTGATACAACCGCCTTCGCTTCCTGAAGTGCTGGGATTACAGGTGTGAGCCACTGTGCCCACCCAATGGTTTCTTAAATAAGATACAAAAGCAGACACAATAAAAGAAAAAAATAGATAAATAGATTTCACCAAAATTAAAAGATTTTGTGCTTCAAAAGATACCATCAAGAAAGTGAAAAGAGGATGCAGTGGCTCATGTCTCTAATCCCAGCACTTTGGGAAGCCAAGACAGGCAGATCACCTGAGGTCAGGAGTTTAAGACCAGCCTGGCCAACATGGTGAAACCCCGTCTCTACTAAAAAATGCAAAAATTAGCCAGGTGTGGTGGCGGGTGCCTTTAATCCCAGCTACTCAGGAGGCTGAGACAGGAGAATGGCTTGAACCTAGGAGACAGAGGTTGCAATGAGCTGAGATCGTGCCACTGCACTCCAGCCTGGGCAACAGAGCAAGATTATGTCTAAAATAAAATAAAATAAAATAAAATAAAATAAAATAAAATAAAACAAAATAAAATAAAATAAAATAAAATAAAACAAAATAAAATAAAGTGAAAAGACAAGCCACAGCATGGGAAAAATATTTGCAAAGATATATCTGACAAGGAAATTTTATTTAGAATACGTCAAAAGCTCTTACAACCAAACAATAAAAAGAAAAATGACCCACTTTAGTCTGTAATACCAGCACTTCAGGAGGTTGAGATGGGAGGATAGCTTGAGCCCAGGAGTTTGAGGCTATGGTGAGTCTTGTTCATGCCACTGTACTCCGGTCTCGGTGACAGAGCAAGACCTTTCTCAAAGAAAGAACGCAAGAAATAAAAAAGTAAAATAACCCAGTTTAAACATGGGATAAAGAATTTGAACAGATGTATCTCCAGAGAAGATGTACCAATAGCCAAGATGCATAGGAACATCTGTTCAATATCATTAGTTATTGGAAATGCAAATTAAAACCACACTGAGATACCTCTTCACACCCACTCCAATGGCCGAAATGAAAAGGACAATAACAACTGTTGATGAAGATGTGGGAACACTGGAGGCCTCACATACTGTTGCTGGGGAGGTAAAGTGAGGCGGCCCATTTGGAAAATAGCCTGGCAGTTCCTCAAAAGGTTAAATGTGGAGTTACCATACGACTCAGCAATTCCATTCCTAGGCAAATACCCAAGAGAATTAAAATCATGTGTCTACATAATAATTTATATGTAACTATTCACAGAAGAATTAGTTATAATGGCTAAAGAGTGAAAACAACCCAAATGTCCAGCAACTGATGAATAGATAAAGAATATGTGGTGTATCCATGCAATGAAATATTATTCAGCCATCAAAAAAAGCACTGATACTGCAACATGGATGAACCTTGAACACACGAAGCTAAGTAAAAAGTCAGTCACAAAAGGTCACACACTGCATGATTCCACTTACATGAAATGTCCAGAATAAGCAAATCTATAGTGATAGAAAATAGATGCATGGTTGCCTAGGGCTGCCAGGGGATGGAGGGAGTTTGGGAAAAATGAGAAGTTACTGCTAATGGGTATGAGATTTTCTTCTGAGATAATAAAAATATTTTAAATTGATTGTAGTGATGGTTGCCAACTCTGTGAATATATTAAAACCATTGACTTGTACCCTTTAATAGGTGAATTTTATGATATGTAAGTTATCTCTCAATAAAACTGTCATTAAAAAATACCCTAGCAAGATTAGATGCCCTCACAGGATTGAAACAGAATTCTGGGTAGTTGTCAGAAAAATTCTAGTGTAAAATCAACCTGTGGAGTTGTCACATGTAGCTAAAATTAAAAGCATATCTTTATTCAGTAAAGCATTTCAGTAGCATAAGCTTTTTTCAGTTCTTTAGTCCTTTTATCAGTTCTTTAGTCAGAGACCAGTTCTTTGCTCTGAAAACTAAATAAAGGAAATCAACCAGAATGTGTAAAAACAATAGTAAAAACTATACAATTAAACATTATTATTATTACTATTATCATTATTTTGAGACGGAGTCTCTTTCTGTCACCCAGGTTGGAGTGCAATGGTGCGATCTCAGCTCACTGCAACTTCTGCCTCCTGAGTTCAAGCTATTCTCCTGCCTCAGCCTCCTGAGTAGCCAGGACTACAGGCATGCACCACCACGACTGGCTAAT